CAGTTCCAGGAAAGCCGGAGGACATATCCGCCCCACCCCACCCCCGCCAAGGCCCCGCCCCTGCTCTGCTGTCTCCCCAAGGACCCCACCTGCCTGCATCTTGCTGCTGTCCACTCTCCCCCATGCTCCTCCGCCAAACAGCTGTGGCTCAGGGAGCAGCATTGGGGACAGTGGGCTGAGCACCCCATAGGGTTGCCAGGTGTCTGGTATTGATTCAGACAGTCTGGTATTTACGCCTCCTGTCCAGTAAAAAAAATCAGAAAATACTGGACTCCTAAAATGTCGTATTTTCTGATTTTTTCCCAACCAGAAGGCAAAAATTCTGGGTGCTTACCTGGTTCTGCAGGGGAGCTGTCTGACCCAGAGCCTGTTGCTTAACAACTCTCAGGGTTTTTTTTTTGTTTTGTTTTGTTTTTGCTTAACAACTTTGTTCTCCCCCTTTTTTTTTCTTAACAGAATTTTTTCCTGGTGTTTTTTTTTTTTTGGGGGAGGTTTTGGTTAAACCATCTGGCAACCCTAAGCACCCGCCATTTTGTTTCCGGGGGTGTTCCAGCCCCAGAGCCCCCTGGGAGTTGGCCCCTCTGCGTATGTTCCCGGGTGGCTCACATCCCTGTGCAGAGAAGGGCTCATTTCCACGGATGTGCATTACCGTGGTGCTGAGAGCATGGCACTCCCGAAGACCCCCTCCCTCCTTCCTGCCCCCACCCAAGGAGATAAAAGAAAACAGGCTTCCTAGTCTAGTGTCAGCCAGGATGAGTAAATAAGGAAACGGTGAGTGTGGCCGGCTTGTCGTGGGGCCAGGGCTGACTCACGGGGATGGGTGGGCTGACTCAGGGCCACTGCGGTGGAGAATTGCCTCCCCACCCAACGGGCCCCGATTCCCTTCCAAGGGCCCGATCCTGAAAGGAGCCACACGCACACACCCCCCTGAGCAGCTCCCGTGAGGGCTGGAGGTCCGCTCCAGACAGGCGATGCTAACGGGCCTCCCATTCTGCCCTGCTGCTCCCAAAATGCCCTGCTTTGCGCTGACCCCAGCCTGCTCCCAGAATTCCTTGCTCCCAGCCCCTCTCTTCCACATTGCCCCCAAACGTCAGCCTCGCTCAGGCCCTGTCTTCAGCGCATTCCCAGAATGCCTTGCCCATCCCCACCGCTGTACTCTCAGAATGCCTTTCCTCACCGTGACCCTGGCATTAGCCCAGTCCTATCGGCTGGCACAGGCCGCTCTGGTTCCACTTTGGTTGGTCTCCGGTTTTCCCACCTCCTCGGGCTTTGTGTCCCTGTGGGGAGAGCACCAAGAAACCCCACCCGTGGGAAACAGGCAACTTCAAGAAAAGAGGCAGGAAGAGAGTCTGAGCTTTGCCGTGTGTGTTTGAGGGAGGGCGAGGTGGAGAACACCCGCTCTGCTGAGTCGGCACATGCCAGGGCTGAAACACAAAACCTTCTCCAAGGCAGGGTGCATCGGAGTCACACAGGCAAAAGCCAGCCTTGTTATTGCTAGCTCAGCTCTCGCCAACCTACGGAAAGGACAGCAATGCGGCCTCAAGTGGCCTGCTCCTCCCATCAGTGCCTTGGACAAAGGCCTGGCCCAGGTTGTGTTAGCTCCCGGTGTGCAGATCTTCCAGTCCGCCCCTAGGACTGCAGTGTCCTGGCTCTCCCCTTTGCTCTGTGCCGCATTCGTACGTTAGCCAAACGAGAGAGGATTACCCTCCAGTTGGAGGATTCGCTGTTCACGAGAGGGGCAAACAACGCAGCGTCCTGTCTGAGATACACACCCGCGCCGGTCTGCAGCCTCGCACCTGAGCTAATCGGTGAGCCAGGGAGCTGGGCCACGCCGGGCAGCTTCCGTCAGGGGAAGAGTTCAGGGCCACGAGTCAGAACTATTCTTCTTTCTCCCCCAAAACACATCCAAGGTGTCCCGGCTTCCCCAGTGCGGCAGAAACAAAGCGCAGGCAGTGTCCTTGCTCAGACAACTCCCCGTCGGCCTCTCCAGCGAGTGCTGTGCCCAACAAGCTCCGTCTCACCTGCTTCCCCCCCCCCAGATCACGCTCACAGCTGCTTCTCCTTCCTTCCTGCTGCGTCTCCCTCCCCCACAGCTGATCTTCTAGGCCAGGGGTCCCCAATCTTGTTAAGCACTTTTTGAATTTAAGCACAATCCAGGATCTATCTCACACCTAAACACCTTGGCCCCGCCTCCTTCCCGCCTCTTCTCTGAGGCCCCGCCCCTGCTCACTCCATCCTTCCTCCCTCACTTTTATCAGGCTGGGGGCAGGGGCCTAGGGTGCAGGAGGGGTTCAGGACTGGGGCCAGGGTTCAGAATGTTGGCTCCAGCTGGGCACCGCTTACCACAGGTGGCTTCTGGGTGGTGGTGCAGGGAGCTAAGGCAGGCTCACCCCTGTCCTGGCCCTGCACCCCTCCCAAAAGCAGCCAGCAAATTCTCCATCCCTTCCCCACTCTGCTCTGTGGAGATGGGGTACAAGGTGGAGGGAGGGGCACCCTGACATCAGCACCACCTCTTCATCTTCCTGTGTCCCGCACAGCAAACAGGAGATTCCCAGGAATGAGGGATAGCTCCAAGGCAGAGGGCAGGAGCAGCACGGCAGAGCTGAGAGGGGCAGATGAAGTGCCGGAACTTGACAGCCTCCTGGCCAAACCTCTCAGGATCACCTGTCAGAGGTTCCAAGATCTACCAGCAGATCCCAATCGACTGGTTGGTGACCACTAGTCCCTGCCTTTGCAGCCCTCCAGTGCACAGACACAGCTTAGCTCTGACCTGCCACCAGGCCTTGTGCCTTGGGCGCTAACCTCCAGCTGGTTTTACTGCATAAAAGGGCTTGATTGCTCCTTCTGTTGAGTTGGAAGAAGGGCTTGGCACCTGTTGGTTTTAATAAGCCTTTGGTTGTCTTGGGTGTTGCTCAAGGACTGTGATCCGATTGGTTGTTAAATGACCCAAATAATGGGTGTGCGCGCATGCACACACACACACACACAAGCTAGATAAAACCATAACTGTTAGTGCTGGGAGGCTGCACTGTATCCCGACTTTATTGCTTCAAATTCAGACAAATGACCCCAAACCAGAGAGACAAAACAGGCTGCTCCCTCATGCGGTGACACAGGGCTCACCCCACCTGGAAGGGGAAGATTGGCTGGAAAATGCAGTGAGCTCTTGCCTCTCGAACCCCAGTTCAGTGCCTTGCCCTTACTACCCCAGTGGTCACACGTGGAAGGGACAATGTGGCTCTGAACTGCCTGCAGCGCCACTGAACATGCCTTCTCCGTTCCAGGTGGGGGTGCTGCAATACGGGGAGAAAGCTGTCCACGAATGGACCCTCCAGGATTACCAGACCGCGGAAGAAGTGGTGGAGGCAGCAAAGAACATCAGCCGGCAGGAGGGCCGGGAGACCCGCACGGCATTCGCTATCCACAAGGCCTGGTATGGGGAATGCTGGGAGGGGATTTCTCCTAGCAGTGGGAGGAGTGGATTTTTAACTGTGGGCGCTGCATTAGCACCTTCAGCGCCATATTCCTTGGGGTGAATTTCCCGGCGCAGAACGTTCCCAGATACCCTGGAAGATGTTGGTCTCCTGGTATTTCCTCCCAGAGAACAGGAGGCCTCTTGCAGGGAGAAGATGGCGAAGCATCTTGTTGCTTATATAGAACTGGGAGCCCAACACAGGTTTGCAGCTGACACCACCACAGTGCAGCCTGCTCAGGAGTGGAGAACAACAGTTAACAACCTAGCCCAACAGTGTGGGGAAGGAGAGATTCACCCCAGGCAGGATGAGTTCTCACTCCTCTCTTAAGTGTCTTGTATGTCTCCCCTTGCACTTGATTGACAAAACTTTTGTCGTTCATGGGTGCTTCAAAAACCTATGAATGACAAAGTTTTGCGGTGGCCAGTGCACATGGGAATGCGGCTTTGTGGGCAGAAACCCGCTCGCTGGGGGTGGAAATTGTCGGGGAAAGGGCCAACACACGGCATTCCCATACTGTGGGACTGTTAGCACCAGGGCAGTGGTGACAGAACCGTGTCACTAAAAGCTGAATAGCGTAGACATACCCGAAGGTCCAGTCTTAACAACCCTAAGGGGATGCCTATACCAGTGTTCCTCAACCTTTTTTTATAAAGTACCCCTTTTTCAAAAAAACAATTATAAATACCCCCAGTACCTACAGTTTTCAGACACACACATTTTTTTTCTACCATTGCAACACATTTGTTTAAACAATTTAATCATCGCCCAGTGGGCGATGACATTTTTGGGTGTAAAAAGTACAAAAACAATAAAGCGCTGTAAAATTTCAAACAAAAATTCAGTTTTCTCCACATTTCAGTTGTGTACCCCCAGACTTCTCTCGAGTACTCCTCAAGGTACTCGTACGACTGGTTGAGAAACACTTGTCTTGTCGATAGGCAAGGCACTGTCGACACAGCCCTGTTGCTCAAAGTCAGCGTGTGGAAACACTCTATGTCGGCTCTTTTGCCGACAAAATACTTCCACCCCCATCGAGCGGGTTTCACTTTGTCGGTGGCAAATCATGCCTCACTAAGCTACGAAAATTCTTTGAGAGGATCCCCAAACATGTGGAAGGGCTATAGTGTACTTAGATTTCTAGAAAGCCATTGACAAGGTCACCAAAGGCTCTTAAGGAAAATAAGTTATCTTGGGATAAGTGGGAAGGTCCTGTCATGGACTGATAACTGGTTAAAGGATAGGAAACAAAAGGCAGGAATAAATGGTCAGTTTTCAGAATGAAGAGAGGAAACTTGTGGTGTCCCAAAAGGGTCTGTCCTGGGACCAATCCTATTTAACATATTCATAAGTGATCTGGAGAAAGGGGTAAACATGAGGGCTACGTCTAGACTACAGGGTTTTGTCGACAGAAGTTTTGTCGACAGATACTGTCAACAAAGCTTCTGTTGTCAAAGAGCGTCTAGACTACATCCAGTTCTGTCGACAAAGCAAGCCGCTTTGTCGACATGACAGTGTAGACGCAAAGGACAGTGTAGATGCAGTAACGCCTTCTGTCGACAGAACTCTGCCGAGAAAAGGCGTTATTCCTCGTAGAATGAGGTTTACCGCCATCGACAAAACTGCCGAGTTCTGTCAACGTTATGTCAACAGAACTCAGCAGCAGTGTAGACGCAGGTTTAGTTTTGTTGACAAAAGTCCACTTTTGCCGACAAAAGCCTGTAGTTTAGACACATCTGAGGTGGCAAATTTGCAGATGATACCAAAGTGCTCAAGACAGCTAAGACCGTGAAGGGCTTCAAAAGGAGCTCACAAAACTAGGTGACAGGGCAACAAAATGGCAAATGAATTTTAATATTCATAAATGCAAATTAAAGCACATTGGAAAACATAATCCAACTATACGTACAAAATGATAGGGACTAAGTTAGCTATTACCACTCAAGAGAGATCTTGGAGTGATCGTGGATAGTTCTCTGAAAACATCCACTCATGCAACAGCAGTCAAAAAGGGAAACAGAATGTTAGGAATCATTAAAAAGGGATAGAAAATAAGACAGAGAACATCTTATTGCCTGTACATCACATCTTGAATGCTGCATACAGATGTGCTTGCCTATCTTAAAAAAGATATCTTGGCATTGGAGAAAGCTCAAAAAAGGGCAACAAAAGTGTTTAGTGGTTTGGAACGGCTGCCATATAAAGAGAGATTTAAAAGGCTTGGATGTATCGTCTTAGAAAAGAGGAGTCTGGGGGAGAATATGATGGAGATCTATAAAATCATGACTGATGTGGAGAAAGTGAATAAGGAAGTGATTGACTTGTTCCTATAACATAAGAACTAGGAATCACCCAATGAAATTAATAGGTAGCAATTTCAGAACAAACAAAAGGAAGTTTTTCTTCACACAGTGCACAGTCAACTTGTGGAACTCCTTGCCAGAGGATGTTGTGAAGACCTGGACTTTAACAGGGTTCCAAAAAGAACTAGCTAAATTCACGGAGGTTTGGTCCCTCAATGGCTGCTAGAACTGTTGACCCTTACCTTTGTTTGTCAGAGGCTGGGAATGGATGACAGAGGAGGGATCACTTGATGATTCCCGGTTCTGTCCATTCCCTCTGGAGCACCTGGCATTGGTCGCTGTCAGAAGACAGGATGCTGGGCTGGATGGACCTTTAATCTGACTCAGTATGGATATTCCTATGTTTGTAAGAGTGGAATTAAGTTTGTTACATGCACCAAAGCATGGGCAGATGTGCACCACCAGTAGAGATACATGGTGCCAGCTATGGGAGGCTGTAGGTGCTCTGCTAATCAGCTGGGCAGCATCTGAATCACTCCTGGGCAGACTTGCAAGCACTCTGCTTAGAGGAAACACTAGTTTCAGCCCAGTTCAAGCATGGCACAGAAGGTTCTGTGCTTAGCTCTGCCACTGACCCGCTGGGGGATGCTGGGGGAGTGGCTGCCTTTCTCTGTGCCTCAGTTTCCCTTCTCACCTTTTGTCTGTTCTCTTTGGATTGTAAGCTCATCAGGGCAGGGTTCTTGCTGTGGGTTTGTACAGCCCCTAGCACAGCGTGGGCATCAGCGCAACTGATCCACACACTGACAGCCCGCATGGGCCCTAGAGGCTGAACGGGATTAGGAACTGGACGTCTTGCAGAACGTGACTCTGTCTCCGTCAGAATTACAACCTCATTCTCCATCTTCTCCTTCTGCTGTGGCAGCTCGGAAGCCTTCAGCCCGGAGAAGGGAGGCCGGGAAGGAGCCACCAAACTGATGATCGTGGTGACCGATGGGGAGTCTCATGATGGGGATGAGCTGCCGGCGGCCCTGGTCGAATGCAAGAAACGCAACATCACACGCTATGCTATTGCGGTGAGTCGCCAGTGCCCACGAATTCAGTGTGGTGGGGGAGGGGGCTAATGCTGTGCGAATTCGTCAGCCTAGCTTGTCTGAGTCTCATGCACTGGACTGGCTGATGGTGATGAGGCATTTTGTTTGGGGAAACCTCCCTTCTCTTCCTCTATCAACTCTTCTCAACACCAGAGCCTGGGCCAAGGAGGAGAATGGGGACACAAGGTCCCTGAACTACATTTCCCATGTTGCACCATGACCAACGATTCCCAAGATGCAACTGCTGTCTCCAAGAGGAAAGACTGGTGCATCATGGGAGATGTAGTCCACCCAGCAACTACCAGCCGATAAATGGTCTTAACTGAACTCAATTTTTGTTTCTTATACTTTCAATGGAGAATACAATGTTTGTTTTGAAGCACTTTTTTCACGTTTTGTCCATTTAAATGGGACATAGGGGGGGAGGGTGTTTTCCGTCAATGATTATTTAATGCAATTGAGATTGAAAAAGCGAAGGCTTTATAAAGATTAAAACCCAAACTGTCAGCATCACATCTCACAATATACAAAGTGGATAGCTTGACATCTAATGCCAATTAAAAAGCTAACCCTTTGTAAGCCTACTATAGAGGAGCATGGGAGTTAGGGATGTCACAGGTTAACCATTTACCTGGTAAGCAATAGGCTTATCAGCCTGCTTTCCCAGTAACCAGTTAACCGGCCGGCTGGAGCACTCCCCAACTCGCAACTGTGACAAGGAGCAGCCCTATGGCCGCAGCAGGCTTGGCTGAAGCAGTCCTGCAGCCGTGGCACGCCCTGCTGGCTGGACCCCACCCGTGGCTGCAGCAAGCCGGAGCAGCCCCTCACCCACAAATTGTTTACCTGGTTAATTATTTTAGGGGGTTTTTACATCCCTAATGGAAGTAGGAGGCAGGCAAACTACATTTCCCATGTTGCACCATAGCCAACGACTCCCATTATGTGACTGCTAGATTGAAGAGGGTAAACTGGTGCATCATGGGAGAAGGAGTCCAACCCATGACCCTGGTCTATAGGGAAGAATAGGAACAAAAGGCAGAGGAACTACAATTCCCGTGAGGCATTGTAATGGGATTTCCAAATTGCAATTTCCACTGGGAGAAGACAAACGTATTTTCCAACCAGCTCACATTGAGGGGCTCTCGCCTGACCCCTCTAGCCTGAGTGGGTGTTAGACTGTGAGTAACCAGGCAAAAGTGATGCACTCAACAGCCTTGGCTTCTCAGGTCCTAGGTCACTACATCCGCCGCCAGCAGGATCCCCACTCCTTCATCAACGAAATCAAATATATCGCCAGCGACCCTGATGAGAAATACTTCTTCAACGTGACGGATGAGGCGGCCCTGAACGACATCGTGGACGCCTTAGGGGACAGGATCTTCAGCCTCGAAGGTAACGGCAATGGACCGACTGGGCAAACCTTATGGTCTGTCAAGTTCAGACTCCCCTAACTCCCTTCTAGACCTTTGGGTGATCTAGTCCAGCCTCCTGCCCGACTGCAAATAACCCATGAAGGAAAGCAATGGGAACTAAGCAAGGGCTGTAGCAGGAGAGACTGGAGGAAAGAAGCAGAACCACAGAACAGGGATCAGAAGAGGCAGATGGATGGATATTAAGACACAGGGGTGCCCCAGATTTTCAGGTGTCCTACGCAGCTGCATAGTCTGTATGTGGGAAAGAATGTCTCTCGTTGTAGGAAACTGCAGGTACAAAGGGCAGCATGCAACGTCTCTCTACACCTGTGGTTCTCAACTGGTGGTCCATGGTGACTTTTTTGGTGGTCCACAGGAACATTGTCCAAAGTCACACGGTGTGAGCAGGTGCTGCCGTTAGGCTGTTTTACGCCGTGTTCACAAGCACGCAGCAAGTCATCCATAGCATCACCTTGGACTCAACCACGTTGTGTGGCCAGTAACTTCCGTCTGAGGCTCTGAGCATCAGTGTAGCTGCTGCCATCATGCTGAGTGGTTGCTGTGTTGTTCATCCTGTGCTACATGTGCTGGAGGGGTCCACGAAAATTTTTTGATTGGCCTGGTGGTCCATGGACTGAAATGAGTTGAGAACCACTGCTCTACACCTCGGCTGCATCTACACTGGCATGATTTTGCGCAAATACTTTTAATGGAAAAACTCTTCCGTTAAAAGTATTTGCGCAAGAGAGCGCCTATACTGGCATGTGCCTTTGCACAAAAGATTTGCTTTTGCACAAAACCATCCGTGCCAGTGTAGACGCTCTCTTATGCAAGAAAGCTCCGATGGCCATTTTAGCCATCGGGCTGTCTTGTGCAAGAAATTGATGTTACCTGTCTACACTGGCCGCGAGTATTTGCGCAAGAACACTGACGTTGTAATGTACAAAATCAGGGCTTCTTGCGCAAATACTCGCGGCCAGTGTAGACAGGCGGCAAGATTTTGCGCAAAAGCAATTGCTTTTGCGCAAAATCTTGCCAATGTAGACACAGCCCTAGAGGGCACAGGGACCTGGGGGCTTCTGGGTAAACGTTGTTGGGACTTTGTACATCTTGTGCCTCAGCTCCCTGCACCATGTGTGTTGAGGGGATAATCTAGGGCAGCAGAAAAGCCCCGTGGCAGGCCACCATCACTATATTTACCAGCACCTCCACAGGTCTCAGCGATGACAGTTATCGATGCCAGTGGATCGTGATTCGTGGCCAATGGGAGCAGTGGGAGGTGGTGCAGACCAGAATACCGCTTCCTACTACTCCCTGGGATTCCTCTGTTCCTCGGGGATCGTTTCAAGTGAGAGTTAGGGGAAAGTTCTTATGAATGGGCTCGTTTTGGCAGGGAAATATGTCCCCTAAAGAAGGCAGCTGAAATGTGACATGCTGCAGCCCAGAGTGGCTAAAATGTTGGTGGAACAAAAAGAAGGATGTAATAACACAGGCCGCTGGGGGCGGTGTGGCTGACTTTCCGTTTGTATTGTGAGTCTCACCATAAGATGGTGGTTTTCTGTCCTTAACGCCCAGCGCTTGGAGTCCTGGGATTAGCGAGAATCCCAGTGTTCATTTGAGTTCCTAGCCCTTATGGCTGAGGAGAAAAGCTTGAAAATGTGACCCCTTAAAGCTAAAAAAGACAACTAATAAGAAGGCTCAAAATGCAACAGCCAGGAGCGGGGGTGGGGGGGGGGATAATTTTTGAAATTTCGTGAGTTTTGTCAGTGTAGTCTCCATGATGGGGAGGGCCCTAGGTCATTGATTTTTGGGTGACTGATATTGAAGTTTCATTAGCAGAGAAAGCAATATATACAACGGGCTGAGAGGTCAGCGTTACACCTGAGCCATTCCTGACCTCCTGGTCCAACCCCATGCTAGGTCCTTCCTGACACATGGACCTTCTTTCTCCAGTTCCCTCTCCAGAGCTAAGTGGTCGTTCCTGGCCCTGCATCCGGTAGAAGATCCAGGACAGATGCAGCAGATCACAGCTGAATATCCCTGACCCATGTGTATGACCAAAAGTGAGGCTGATTTTTTTTTCTCTCCCCCACTCCCCATCAGGGACTCATGGATACAACGAAAGCTCATTTGAATTGGAGATGTCCCAGATCGGTTTCTCCACCCACCTGCTGGAGGTAAGGCCGCTGCTGGTTGGATTACAAAATCCTAGCAATGCAGGGCTAGAAGGGATCTCTAAATCATATTGTCCACCCCTTTGCCATGAGGCAGATCAACTTAATCTCAACCCTCCCTGGCAGGGCTTTGTCGAACTTCCAAATGTCCAGTCTAAAACCCATTGTCTCTTCTCTAGCTGGCTAGTTTATAATAATAGTGTAACTGCCTGCAGGTAGATTTGAACCTGGGACCTCTGGAGCCTAGTGCCGCAGCCTCTACAGCAGGGGTGGCCAACCTTCTGCACCTCAAATGCCTCATCCCAGCTCCATCCCAGAATCCATACCCCCTTCCACACTCCAACCCGCTGCCCCAGCCTGAAGCCCCCTCCCACACTCAAAACCCTTCAGCCCCACCTCCCAGTCTGGAACCCCCTCCTGCACCCCAAACCCCTCATCCCCAGTTCCAACCCAAAGCCGTCACCCTAGCCCCCCCAACTCCAACTCCCTGCTCCCCGCCTGAGCCCTCTCCCACACCCTGAACCTCTCATTTCTGGTCCCATCCCCAGCCAGAACCCTCGCTCCCTGCACCCCAACCCCCTGCCCCAGTCTGTGAAAGTGAGAGTGTGGAGGAGAAATGAAGTGAGAGGGGGCGGAGCTTTGGAGAAAGGGTGGGGGTGGGGCCTTGCAGAAGAAGTGGGGCAGGCATGGAGTGGGGTGGAGCCTTTGGGGAAGGGGTGGAGTCTGGGGCTTAGTTTGGGGGCAGGAAGATAAGCTGGGGGGGTCTGTGAAAAAATTCAAATCCAAATGGGAGTCCTCGGGTTGCAAAAGTTTGAGAACCGCTGATCTAAATAGACCAGACAAAGGCGAAACAGAAACAGAGAGATGGGCAGGGACCTCACAAGGTCACCAAGTCCTCGAGAAACCAGGTCCACCGAGACCTCGTCGGCAGTCCCAACCACTAGGCCACGTTGTCTCTGTCTATCGG